TTAGAGTTAAAGTAGGTATATACTGTTAGTATTATATTTGTTTAGCTAAATTGTAAGTTAGATTTGGAATGATTTGTTTTAGTCCTGTATTTGATTCCGGGAAGCTCAGGGGGGGGAAGGGGGTTAGAAGTATTAAAATAAAAATTGATGTATTCATATGTTATAATTGTATTGATAAGAGGAAGCGCTCGGTTGGTATCCCAGCTTGCACTCAATGAGGTGGTCAGGAAGAGGGGGGATGTAGAAAGGGGAAGGAGGAAGGAGGAGAGGTTGTGGGTTAGAGGTAGGAAGGAAAGGCAAGTGGATGAGGGCGGAGGCAGGTCGGGAACTGCTGAGCGTTTCTGATAATGTATTGAATTGGATTGTTTTTTTTGTGTATGTTTGTGTTATAAATGCATCATATTACTTATTGTTTAATTATAAAAATTAATAAAATTTTCTTTAAAAAAAAAAGTTCCTTCATCTATGTAAGAGGTCTGATTTTGTTTCTACAGCATGTCTTGTCGAGTAACATCCATGTCTCTTCTCTGTGTACCTCTTATAACTCTGCCTGATATAAAACCACTTATTGAAGCTCTCCTTAACTATCGTGATCATGGACCACAAGAAGTGCTTCACTCTCAGTTTTTAGAAGCGGTGAATGAGGCTATACTACGGTAAGTAGGCTCCAAAATAAGAAGCTTTTCTTGTCTAGTAACAAAAATGCTAATTCAGTAACCCCATTTGTTGAAAATTAATTTTATATATCTGTGCTGGGCTAAGAATTTATTAGGATCTATTAATAGTTTATGGATAGGTTCTCAGACATGGGTTTTGCTTATTTTTTTCATAAACTATCTTGATTATTCCCTTATTTGATGAGCTTTTGTGCATTCTGCATAATTGATGCAAATGTTGGAAATCTGTTTCTACAGATGGATTTCATTTTGTAAATTGAGAAAGAATGTGTTTTATTTGTAAAATAACTTGTGTGCCACTGCTATGATGTTTTTTGTAATGATGATTCAGATGATACTTTTGAAAAATGTTAGCCTAACATAAAATATTAGTCTTATCCCTATATTCAGTAGAGATAAATGCCTTTTGGCCACTTATAGAAATATGCTGAAAGTGTTTTCTTTTTCCAGGAAAGAGTAGAAATCTCTACATCACAATACAATAAATAGCAAATTCACATTTTATTTTAGATTTTGTTTAGAGTTAAATGGAGTTATTGTTTTGCACACCCATATTTTAAGGGAAGTTTTCTTCAACCTAGGATATTCCAGTGTGTTAAACTAAATGTAGCATTACCACCAGCCAGTGTGATCAGTGACTCCACTGCCTGGGGATGAGGGAAGCAATTATCAAATATGTTTGGAGGACACCATGATTATTTGCTACTGCTCTAAAATGATCAGTCCCTCCTGCTGTTTCTCTTCCACAACCTTTCTGTTTGGTTAATAGGATGTACTGGAAGAAAAGGATAGAGTCTCTAATGGAGATGCCTACAAGCAAAAGTCAATGGGGAAGCCAGATTCATTTAACAACCATGTTACAATTGCTCTCGACTTACAACCACAATTGAGCCCCCAATTTCTGTTTCTAAGTGAGACAGTTGAGTGAGTGAGACAATGAGTTTTGCCCCATTTTATGACCTTTCTTATTACAGTTGTTGAGTGAATCACTGCAATTGTTAAGTTAGTAACCCGGCTGTTAAGTGAATCTGGCTTCCCCATTGACTTTGCTTATCAGAAGTTCACAAAAGGTGATCACAGGACTCTGGGACACTGCAACCATCATAAATATGAACCAGTTGCCAAGCGTCTGAATTTTGATCACTTGACCACAACTTGATTGCAATGGTCGTAAGTGTGAAAAAAGGTTTTAAATCACTTTTCTCAGTGCTATCACTAAATGATGGTTGTAAGTTGAGAACTAACTGCAGTGATTCACTTAACAACTGTAGCAAGAAAGGTTGTTTATTTTTTTATACATACATACACACACACACACTCACTATGGATAAAAATATTTGATGTCAGTGTGTTGCTTGGTGACATAATACTTGTATTTTTGTATGCAGATGATGCCTTGTTGACTTAGAACCCAAATGTGTGCTTTGCATAACATTTCATACCTTGAAAGGGATTACTGTAGCATGATGGTTATGTGTGTGTGTGTGTATATATATATATAATCTTTTGCGAAAGTGTAGCATGCACACATTAGATCGTATACCATGCTAAATTGGGGGAAATCAAAACCCTAAATATGGAGAAATAAATTGTACCCAATACAGGTAGCCCTTGACTTACAACACTTCATTTAGTGATCGTTGAAAGTTACAACAGCACTGAATGACCGTTTTTCACAGTTACGACCTTTGCAGCATCCCCTTAATCATGTGATCAGAATTCAGATGCTTGGCAATTGGTTCATATGTATGACCGTTGCTCTGTCCCAAGATCATGTGATCATCTTTTGTGACCTAACGAGCAAAGTCAATGGGGAAACCAGATTCACTTAACAACTGTGGCAAGAAAGATCATAAAATGGCGCAAAACTCACTTAACAAATGTCTCACTTAACAACAGAAATTTTGGTCTCCATCGTGATCATAAGTCGAGGACTACCTGTAGTAATAGAGAGGAAGGAAAAACAAAAGTGACTTTGACAGATAATGAGCAGGAAAAGGTCATGGGGAAAAACCTAGCAGTTTGCAGTAGTTACTCAAGTTTTAATAGTGTGATATTAATTTTGTAGAGAAAGAATGGATAGATTTTGGAGCATTGGTATTTCTTTTGTTCCATAGTAAAAAAAAATGCAGAGAACATATTTCTGGCCATACTTTGATCTTTTTACCAAGCAAAGTTTCCATTGTACTAATTGCTTAGTTCTTTGGTATGAATTTCATCTTTGTTTTGGAATGCTGAGAAACAAACTGTGCCATTGTTTTCTTAAAGATTGATATTTTCAAAGGTGATTAAAATAGAGTGATGGGAAGTCCAGTGGCTGCATAAATTGTATTCAAAAGCACCATATCCTCCCAATTTGGAATGAAGTTCAAAATATCACTTGTAGCAAGGGACACTAAAAGAACATTTCTCTTTGGAAACAGATAAAAATAGGGAGAAAGTGAAATATATACAAAAATATCAACTCCTTTTTTCAATACAGGAAAAATATCTCCTTATCTGAAACTGCTGTTCTGCAACTATGGCTTCGTCACCTTCCTAGTCTAGAGAAGGCAATACTACGAAATATTGAACAGTTAATATCCAGTCAATCAAGGTCAATGGAAGAGATGGCATGTGTGATAAAAGATTCTTTATTGGTGAGTATAGTCTGCTGCAAGTATTGGAAACTCAACACATGTGGGCTCTAGAGCAGCAGCCTCCAACCTTTTGGGCACCAGAGACTGGTTCCATGGAGAGAGGTTTTTCCACGCACCTGAGGGGCCGTGGTTTCGCATGCTGTCTGTATCCCACAGATGGGGCTTTGCTCCTTTGCACAGACTGGTTTCTGGCATGCCGCAGCCCGGTGCCAGTCCACAGACCGGGGCTTGGGGACCCCTGCTCTAGAGCACCTACCACCTCTCCAGTCAATGCCGTAGTCTCCCATTATTATAACTTCAACTTCCTTGTGTTCAAAAGGCACTGAAGTATTTCACAGGTTCACAAATACTCTTATCTTTAGGTGCAAACCATCCAGACATCTGCATCTCCTCTCCAGTTTTGTTGATCAATTTACATAAAATCCAGTGAGCCATGCTATTGAACATTATGGCAATTTTAATCTGGGGATGCATT